GGTCACGGTGTTAGGGGAAGAACTGTGGGTGGGTGGGGAACTCAGGATAAAAAGAAGGTCACATAGTAGGTTCCAGTGCTCCAGATGGTGACACTCTGGTCCTGAGAAAAAGAGAAGGAAGTGAGACTCAGTCCTGATGTCTCAGCAAAGTGGAATACTGCAGTGGCCTGGGTCAGGAGCTGACTTCAGGACTGTCTGCTTTGGCCAGAGCTTTAATGTGTGTGTAGGGAAAACACAGGACACACTTATCTTTCAGCACAGCAGACGTTTGTGTGTTTTCCGAGTCATCTGAAGCAGAGTGCAGGACTCAGCTGCTGGATAAAGAAACCCGATGTGCTCATTTATTACAACAATGAGGTCATCAGAGGACCCATAAAACCCTAACTTGTTATCCAAGTTCAGATCTGGTTTGTTACTCAGATAATGGCTCCAGGCTTATTTAACAAGCCAGTTTTGACAAGTTGAATTTCTTTACGGGATGTTTGTTTAATTGTGGTAGAGCCCTCCCATCGTAAAAGTATTTTGAACTGTGTAGAGAATAGAGAAAACTAAAGTCAAGAGGGGTTTTTACAGTGATTTTTATACATCCTTCAAATAAAGACTTTCTGAGTCAGGTTTACATTAGGAATATAAGAAAAATCTCCAAAATCTGCCTAAATATCTCTGAAAATCAGAAAATGAAATAAAAGCAGGGTAGAAGAAATTACAGAGGTTTGCCCCTTGAATACATTTCAAGGTTATTGCACATCTGATTATAAAGATACCAAACATCTCAACTTGTTTTTCCTATGACAGGTGGTAGAATAGAATGAATACTACATGAACAAATCATTCTCATGGGAAGTCCCCAGAAATTTTCAAAAGTTTAGAAATACACAACATGTTTACCATTCCATAGTACAATGTGAAGTCTATGAGGCATTCACAATTCAGTCCAAATCTCTTCCGGGTCTTCAGAGACCTTGCACTGCCACATGTAAACATATGTAACTAATTAGGCTTTTAATGCCTAAGAAGGACTTAAAAAAACTTGCAAAATATTTGCATTAGAATAGAAGTGATTATTATAATCTTATTATTCCTAATATCTTTATAGCACTCATTTAGACAAGTGGACACTCACTTTTACAGGTTTTGAAGTTCCATTTTATTCTTCCCGCCAAGGTACAGTCTTGCCTACTTTTGACTCACATACACACAGGTGTGGGAGAAGAGGAGAGAGCTATTTAAATCTATCAGTATTATTGGAGTCATGCCAAAAATTGCTTTTTACTATATTTCACATTCTGAGCACTGAACAGGAAAAGCACACACACTAATTTCCATCAGCATCAAACCACAAGTAATTGTTAAACACAACCCACTCTCATAGTTGTTGATTTCTTGATAATTTGAGGAAACATCAGTCAGCTACTTTGAGATGCACTGCAAAGAGATGCTGACAATTTTTTTTCGTACCAGGGATCAGACTGGGGTCTTTGTGCTTGTGAAGCAGGCACCGGAACCACTGAGCTACATCCCCAGCCCCTATGTTAACATTTTTTAGCAGGCAGTAGTAATTAATTTTACATACCTGCTCAGGCTGTTCCATGGCATACTGCTGGCTCCACCCAGGGCCCCTGGCTGCCACCACACTGGGGCTAAGATGTGGCAGCAGAAGACAAGCAGGAGGGTCCTCTGTGAAGGCAGCTGCAGCACTGGGATGTGAATTTTATCCCAAGTACTAGTGAACCAAGGGAGGAAGCTCAGTCCACTGAAGACACTGGCACAGAATTAATGGAAATAACACTTCAAAATGGCACAGCGGAAGTGTCCGCACAGTTATGGTAACAAACAAGATCAAACTCATCAGAATTTCCATTTGGGGTGGGGAAATTGGGTTTGGATATTTTGTCTTCATTTTGTTGTTCTTGTTATTTCATTTCACTTTGTTTGTTTGAGACAAAGTCCAGCTTTGTTGCCAAGCTGATCTCAAACTCGGAGTCCTCCTGCCTCAGCTCCAGCGTAGCTGGGATCACAGGCATGCGTCACCACAGCCAGCAGGTGAGACTGTTCTGAAGCCAGGGAAAGAGGGTCACTGTCCGGTGTTACGAGAGATTTGATCACATCACTCAATGTACACCTTAAAAGGTTGATTTAACATTATGCAGATTATACCTCTTTCCACGGATGGAGGGATTAGATGACAGATAGTAGATCGCTAGATGATAGGTGAGATGGATGGTAGACAGATAAAGACAGACTCAAGGGAGAGAGGACTTAGTACAATTTTCTTACAGTTTTATATGTTCTTTGGCCTATTAGTCTGGTTTTCAATCTGTATACATGGTAATTAACTTTATAAGGTCTTATAAGATAGATAAATGAATATGATGCTGGAAAAATAAAAGGGGATGGATGGAGAGGAAAAAAAGGAGGAAACTGAAATGTGCCATACACATGTACCGATCTGCAGGTACCGATCTCCTAACATGACAGAATTCAGTGAACAAGCTCGGGTTTTAAATCCAAGCTCTGGCTTCTCATCCGCAGTTAGGGAAACCAGAGCAGCATCTTCCCAGGGCTGCAAACTTGCACACAGTGTGCAGCACAGAGCTGCACTTACTGTATTATTTAATACAGTGGCTCTGTGTTGGACAAGCAATGACAAATCAAAAAGGGTAAGGCCCAAGTAAGCATTTCGTGTTTAATAAATTCCCACTCCCTCAGATAACGCAGGATCACAGGACCTCAGGTCCAGATAGTACCTATCAGCTTATGCTGCAGCCTTCCCTGTTCTGCTAGATGTGTTCTTTTATTTTTATTGGATCACTTGGATGATTTGGAAACACAGGAAATAAAGAGCAGGCGGATATTTAAAATAAGTACCATCTCAATCTTCACTGCCCCCTCTGCCCAGGAGCTGCTGGGGACGTTGGACAGCGGCTTCCCTAGTGACTTCCCCGCTGAGGTACTGATCTGGGCTGTGTGCAGCCTTCGGTACCCACCGCCTCTGCCTTCACTGCAGCACCACTGGTTTCTTGTCTCCGGGAGATGTTGCTGAATCACCTTCCTGCAGGGAAGAGCCCACTCTAGCTGCTTGGTGGTCACACAATTTCCAAGTCAATCCAGTCTTTTTCTTATTTAGACCTAGGTTCCAACTTAGCACATCCCTTTGGGGTTGTAAATGCCCTCATGTCCCCTGCATGCACCTCTCCTGCTGTCCACGGGAGCGATCCACACAGGGGGACCTGCAGTGGCCCTCTGTGACCTGCGACAGCAGTCAGGGACACCTGTGCTTCTCTTTGCCTTGCACTGTGGCACCCTGACCCTTGCTCCCACGCTCATTAGGGCCTGGGGCTAACTCTGCCCACCTCCCCTAGGAATGTGAGTCCCAGAGTCCTCAGGGTGACTCAGTTTCCTCAGAGCCCAGGGACTCTGCGCTGAAGTCTGCAGCCACAGGGCGAGTTACACACCATCGCAGGCTCCTTTCTGGGGATTTCAGGATCTCAGCAAAGTCACCCCTGACACTGGACAAGTAGGAACGACTGAGCCCTGTGCATATGACCCAGGGCTGGGGAAGAGCTCAGCTCATGCCCCTTCCCCACATCGGTGCAACTGTTTGACCCAGACATTAAGGTCTCCAGATGGTGCCCCGGCAGCCTGCGCGATCCTCTTCTTCCAGAGCCCCAAGCCTGGACGTGGGCTTTGCGCTCTTGGTTTCCTAGCCCGGCCTTCCCTTGCTCCTCCTCAGCTGTCCTCCAGCTGAATCAGAAGTCAGATCCCTTCTTTAGGATGTTCACCGAATACTTGTGGGTACAATGTTGAATTAGTACATCATCGGCCTCTAATCGCATAAGGGAGATTTTATAAAAGCGTAGCTTTAGCCATGGATTTAGCTCAGTGGTTCCACAGCTTGCCTCTCAAGCGCAAGGTCCGAGTTCGATCCCTGGTACCCACCCCCAAAAAAACAAAAACACATAGTTTTAGCCTTAGTGGGAGAGAGAGTCAGAGAAAAGAAGCCTTCTTGGCCCTAGAAGAGCTGTCCGCCGACCTGACAGAGGGATGGCAGAGGTGAGGCGGGGGTGGGGCACAGTGAGCCTCTCCCTGACCTCACGGCGGGGCCCAGGACTCGATGGCTCGCTCGGTGAGACTCAATGGTGAGAAGACTTCCACTCCGCTGCCCTTGATTCTTTTTCTCTCCGCTGGTTCCCGCCTAGGGTGGGAGGGCTCACAGGAGAAGAGCTCGGTCGGAATCCTGACTCCTCCTCAGCAGATGGGCCAGGATGAGAACAACTGTTCCCTCACAGCGCTCTGACATTTTTGCTCTTTGCAAAATATCCCAAAGGTGGAAAGAACACAAAGGCGGTGGGTTTGTGAGAAACGTTGAGAAAGGAAGGGGGCATAGGGTGCCCCCTAAACCACGGGTCATCTGATATTACGTAAAAGATACTAACATAAAAGGATCCTGTTGCCCACATTTATAATTTTAAGTTTCGTTTGCCTGGCTGGCAGTTGAAAATGTAGTCTCCCTTCTCCTGACTTTCTCCTCTCCCGTAACTTGGCAGTTCACTGCCCTGGTATCATTGAAGTTATTGTTTTGCTCATCTGTCACACTGTGTTATTTATTGAAATACAGAATCGGGAAATTCACATTGAAATTAAACATCTTGTTTCCTATGGCCGAAAGCCAGAAAGGATTTGTCTTTGGAAGGGTGATTACAGAACACAAAGCAGTGTCTTTGCCTAATGTCTTGCCTGGTTAATCTTACCAAGTGATTCAGAATCAGTTATTACTCAACTTTGAGACTCGTGCATCTATACACAAAAATAAATAGCTCAAGTATCGCAACACGAGATATATTATGCATAGAAGGGAGACCAACCCAATGTCTTGCATTTCACAGAGGTTTCTATAGTGATAAGAACCCTGGGTCTGAAGAAGAGAAGATGCCCTTGTTAGAGCATAAAGAGGCAGCAGCACTGCAGGAGACTCGGTTTCTCCCCTTAGACCCCAAGTACGGGGCTCCCGGTACTGCGTCCTTAGCAACCAGCTCTGTGAAAATTCCTGAGAAAACACCCAAGCTGTGCACGACCCCTAGTGTAGTGTAACCATTTTCTCATTGTTTGCTTCTTCTTCTTTTTTTAATGTTTGTTTTTGTGGTACTGAGGATCGAACTCGGATCCTTGTATTTCCAAGGCAGGTGGCAGAACCACTGAGCCAGGTCCCCGGCCCTCATGGTTTGCTTCTTGAGGCCACCATTGAAACGGAGAATTTATTGGAGAAGGCCGAAGCAGTAACATCGCAGGAAGGATGACAGTTTGCATGAACCGGCCATTCTCACTCAGGTTAACATCACTACGAGCCGTCCCTGGGGGTGGGTAAACATGTGACACCTCTCCGGGAGACACTGGCCTTTCTCAATGCCGTCAAGGATCTGTGGCTTCAACTCTTCCTTGGCTTCCCTAAATTGCTCAAAATCTTTCTTTCCATCCTGTGCAGAGATGTCTGACTTGTTTCCTTAAACTACTGTTTACGTCATGTCAATCTCTGGTCTTCTAGGAGAAGAAAACAAGGCAGAAACTCCACTCTCTGGCACCCAAAAAGCAGCCTGATCACAAGCTCCGACTGTTCGTCTCTATGTCTTAGTAATTTTCTCCTCACTGAGACATAGGACCTGACACCCACAGCTTAACAGAGGAGAGGTCTACCTGGGCTCCTTATTTCAAAGGTCTCAGCACATGCAGCCAGCTCCGAGGCAGAGACAGCACCATGGAAGAGCCTGGAGGGGCAGGACTCGGGGAGGAAGGGAGAAGGAGGACTAGGGAAGGGGAGCAGGGGAGGAAGGCGGGGGGGAAGAAGGGCTACTCGCATAGTGGTGACCAGGCAGCAGAGGGATAGAGAAGAGAGGAGCCAGCAAGGGAGACAGACCTTTCCCGTGCACGGCCCCAGTGACCACCTCTTCCAACAGGCCCTACCTCTCAACCGCACTTGCCCATGGATGAATCCACTTAAGAGCGAGCCACCATGACCAAATCACACTTCAAAAGTGCCCCTCTGAACAAGCATCTGAGGGACACTGCAGATCCAACCTGCAGCACTCTGTGGACTAGAAGAAGCCCCTGCTCTTGCAGCAGTGACTTGTCTACTCATTGCCCCCCAAAGATCCTTTCCCTGCCTTTATTCCTCTCAGCGAGGTGTGACACTTTGTCCCTCAGACCTCCTCTTCCTCCAGGTCAGGCTCATGCTCTGGGATGACCTTCCTGGGATTTGGGTTGAATCCAGCCTCCTCATGGTGCTGGCTCCTGAGCAGGGAGGCTGATGGGAAGAGCAGGCTCGGGGGTACTGGGAAGCGCTCTTGGACTCACATCCTGGGGAGGGAAGGAAGTGATCAGGTACTGAGGGAAGAAGTGGACTGTAGCCTGCCCTCCCAGGAGTCTGGGGCTGGAAGCTCTTTCCAGAGTTGTCTAATCCAGTTGTACCCTGCACCCAGTTAAACTCAGCGAAGCAGCTCCCTCGGCCGATAACAATCGGTGGACACACCGAGCACTGTGAGAAAACAGCACCCTGCTCTGGGGAAAGGAGAGCCAGGGCGAGGCTATTCTCACCCGGAGGGCAGGGGCGAGTCATGGCCCAGATATTATGTCGTACAGGGTCCCCAACTCTGCATCTGAGTGAATGAGCAGACCTCCGATCCAACATGGCCAGGGAAGAAGATGAACCTCAGCCACAGCGGTTAGTTTGCCTGGGCGTTTAATGAAAGGGGTGCAGGGGTCTTAGCCATCAAGCAGGCACAGAAGTCTGGGGACAAATTCCTGAAAGAAAAACATCACTCTGAAGGGGATTGGTAGCTAGGAGGGAGGTAAGGGAAGCTAACCAAACACCCTTCTTTCATGAGTCACTCTTTGAAGGTCTTGTTTAAATTTTTTTGCTTTAGAAAATGATGATTTAAAAGGTCCACGCAGCCCAGGGTAGTAAATCCATGCATACTTCCAACATTAGTTAATATTTACTAAGAAATCATAGGTTACAACAAATTAAATTTCTTGGCTCTCTGACTGAGTTTTTCTGGTGAGCCATGTAGTGACTGTTCCTACAGATAGTTTATAGCTCTAGCTTTTTACCCCTATGCAGCAACTAAAGCACAAGTCAGAAGAACTCAAGACCTATGTGGTTCTTAAACCAGGTTCTTTAGAAAACAAATGTGAGGTTGGGCAGTGGATTGATATGGCCAGGCAGCCACTGGACATGCCCTCTACTAACTGGGGAAAGTGAGTTAGATTTCTGTTGGTCTGAGGTGGAATTCCTTCATATAAACCTGGGCACTCTCAAAGAAATGTTTTATGGTCCAAACTATGTTTACTTTGGACTCAACTTCTCTTTTCAGTTTTCACTTGTGACCTGAGGAATGAGCTCACAATTGGAAGTGAATCTGTCTTCTGGTCCTACTATTAAGTAATTACCTGCCCACTGAGAAACCATGTAGGACTAACAACGGCCTTCTCCCAAATAGATGCTTTTGGGAATTGCATAGATTACATTGACGATGCTTGCAGATTTCAGGGCAGTGCTGGGTGACTCCAATAAGGACACCCTTAGTAAATAGAATGCTTCCTCTGCCCGGTTTTACTTTGCTGCACACTGGAAGTCTGGTGAATCTAACCTGTTGCTCATGTCTGGGATGGTGGAGAATGAAGGACACTTGGTCCTGGTACGCTGTATGTGTCTGGCAGTGTCTCCAAGGTCCTGTGTATAAAAAGTGGTCCCCAGAAGTTATTCTTAGACTCCCAGGCATGGCTCCTGGTCTTGAGAACCGAGTGGGGCTTTGGACTGCTGACCGAGTCCTGCAGATCCCGATTTGGCGAATCTCTGAGGTGGAATTTAGTTGGTATTCACTGAAAACGGTTTGGATTATTCCACTGCCAGACTCATCAAAGAGAGGTTTGGTTCTGCTGTACTTCAGGGATTGGCTCATTGAACAGACTCCAGCTCATCCACATTGGAGGGGACATTTCTGGATTTCTCTGGATGGGCTGGGAGGGCAGAGGGAGCCGATGTGTCTTTACTCATGGATTTCTCCATAGACTTCCATCAGGTGCTAACCATGCGCTGAGCTGGAGTATAACAATCACTGGCTCCCCAGACAGCACCATGAAACCCATTTCACAGATGGGGAGGCTGAGTCTCAAAGAGGTCACATATCTTGTGAATGGAGGTGCTAGGAAATGAAGTCTGAGGTTCAATTTTATTAGGTCTGTTGCAGGAAATCACCAAAGCTTTCTTGAAGCGTCTTCTCAGTGAACGTGTCACAAACTTGAAAACACAAGCACAGCTACCAGGAACCACTGGCCCTCAGCCCATGAGAAAACAAGAATGTACTGTTGTGTGAACAACATCCTCCCCCGTCCCCTCCCCTCCCCCCTCTCTCCTCCTGCTCCCAGCCCACCACCTGGACCCCCATCTCCACGTATCTCCTCCTCCTGCCCTCCTCTGCCCACCACCCAAGCTGTGTCAAAGACTCCCATAGCAGGCACACCAGATTCTGAGGGCTCTCCTCCGGCACACTCCGCTTTAAGCATCTTCAAAACAATTCAAAAGAGAGGATCTAGAAAGGAGGCTCAGGCTTAAAAAGAAGCAGACCTGGAGTTGTGGAGAGGCTGCGAAGACATCCTTGAGGTCATTCTTTCTTTTTTCTGCACTGATGTATTCTCTCCAGAGTGATAATAATCTTTTTTGAAATGCAGGTCTAAGACGGAAGGAATTTTTATCTGGAAGAGTAATATAAATGAGCTTTGACTGCCAGTTTCCACTGATTATTACTTTCCAGGCGGAATTCCTACAAATTCTTGAGGCATGACCTCCAATGAAAAAATAAAACCCCTTTAAAAACTTGTTGAGAAATTCCAGATAACTTTCACAAGAGACTTAATTTTAGAGCATTAACACAATCTTGGTTGGAAAGATAAAACTACAATGCAGTTATTTGGTAAAAGTCATTACTTCACGATGAAGTCATAGGAGATTATTTTCCTGGGCTTATCTCCCCCCCCACTCTGTCTTTAAACTTGGTTCCTCTCCCCAAAAATAACTTGCTTGTGCATCACTCAGTGCACTCTGGACTGACCCTCACAAAGCGACAAAGTGTTTCAGCAGATGGCCAGCCGGAGTCCCAGCCTTCCGGGGCGAGCAGCGCGGTGACAGTTCATGACATCACAGCAATATGTGCTGTGCATTATCATGTACCTCTGGGTAGGGGACCACATGATTGTATCATATAAGTCCAGAGACCGAGAAGAGAGCATGGTGAATGTTCTCATCACAGAGAAATGATCCACGTTGGAGACGAAGGGCAGCCTAAACGTCTCCATGGGACCATCACACGGCCTATAAATGTACCATACCTGCCTGCACCCATAAAGATCTGTAATTATCTGTCAGTTAGAAAAACTGTAGAGAAAGTAACATACAAAATAATCGATGGAGCTGGGCGTGGTGGCACACGCTTATAATCCTGGCACTAGAGAGGCTGAGGCAGGAGGATCGCTGTGAGTTGGAGACCAGCTTGGGCTACATAGTGAGTTCAAGGTCAGTCTCAACTATATAGTGAGACCCTGTCTCAAAAAAAAAAAACAAACAAAAAGAAATCGATGGAAAGAGGTATCCATGTGTCCTTGAGGGACTGGGGAGGGGAAGGCGAGCCCTAGTTGGAGGCTTGGCAGGTGGTGGTGAGGTGCTCTGGCTCAGTGGTCACCAGGCAAGTGGGGACAACTGAGTCACAGGGTGAAGCGATTTGTCCAAGGACTTGGGACTTTTAAACAGTGCAGTGACAGTGAGTCAAACCCAGGAGTGTCCGACTGAAGACTGGTTCTCTTCCCTTGGCACAGTACCCATTCCTGAGTGGCCGGGCACACACGGGAAGACAGGCAGGCTGGACTCATGCGTGGGGAACACAGCAGAGGCCCCCATGGCGGGGAGGGTTGCTTGGCTAAACCACAGCACCAGCCTGGAAGCTGGTCGGTTTTTCCTTGAAGCTGATTCTTCTTGAATATACATAAAAGCTCTCTAGCATTATAGAAACATAATCCTGAGAAAAACATAGTAAAATTATTCTTAGCTTTCAGGACATTTACATGAAGGAGTATGATTATCTTCTGAATATAATGGTTAGTCCCTTTCCCACTTAATTTATTTTAGAACTTTTGACATAAGACTCATGAGCATGTTGAAAAGAGATTTATAAAGTGGGGGAGGTTTCTACGAATGTTTAATTCAAGCTTGGGGCCCTGTGTTCAATTCTCAGCAGAAGAAGAGGAAAAAGGAGGGGGATGAGGAGGGGCAGGAGAGTCTTTGTGAACCCATGAAATTGTTTATTCTGAAATGTTTTAATTGCCAGAGGGTTGATAACAAGCCAGGAAATGTAGAAGATTGACCCTAGACCTGTACCTCTCATCGTGTACTAAAATCAAAATGGACCAAATGTATAAATATTAAAACAGAAGCAACCTTAAAAATTGTATTTTAAATATTTAAGTTTGTTTCCTCTTTTCAAAAATACTCATATTTTATTGGTTGGTGTGCAAGAAGTCCGAAAAGGTTGTTTCTCTAAAGAGCATTGAT